AAATTTGGTACATACATTAAACATAATAGGACCTTGATGCACGTCATTTTTTTTTTCGGATCAAGTTCGAAATGGCCGACTGGCGGCCATTTTGTTTTAAAGAATTCAGTTCTGGATCCGTATCCGAGACATGTCTGGATTGATCAAGTTCAAACTTCACACACACAAGGTACATCATGTCACAAATATGTATGTGCATTTGTTTCATGATCCCATTAACGATAGCCAAATGGCGGCCGCTTTAAGGCCGAAAATGCATTGAAATCGCACATTTTCACCATTCCGAACCCGGATCTCAGTTATGCATGGACGGATTTCGTTCAAATTTGGTACTTACATTAAACATAATAGGACCTTGATGCACGTCATTTTTTTTTCCCGGATCAAGTTTGAAATGGCCGACTGGCGGCCATTTTCTTAAAGAATTCAGTTCTGGATCCGTATCCAAGACATGTCTGGATTGATCAAGTTCAAACTTCACACACACATGGTGCATCATGTCACAAATAGATATGTGCATTTGTTTCATGATCCGCTTAACAATAGCTGAATGATGGCCATTTAAGACCGAAAATGCATTAAAATCACGTATTTTCACAATTCCGGAACCAGATCTCAGTCATGCATGGATGGATTTTGTTCAGATTTAGTACAATGTGTTGTACATATGCAGGTGCATTTCGGTCATGATCTGCTTTGAATGTATATGTCACTCAAATATGAACGGAACGGGGACGGTGTCATTGACAATGACTTGTTGAACATAAATTCACCTGTGACGTCCTAATCGCGAACATGTAGGTCACACTCACTCTGAGAAATGTATGTGACCATACTGGTTTTTTTTCAAAACCAAATCCATAAATGTATATCAAATCTCAGACCAAACATGCCTGGCTTGGTCTAGCTTATGTATGGCGACAGTTTTAAAATGAAGGTGTAAACAGTGTTTCACTGATATAAACATCACACAGTGTTTATCTGGAAAACAATCATAATATTATTATTATTTCATACTCACTGTAACCATCATTGATGACTACACCAAGTGGTCAGGTTTTACCGATAATCGCATCACCAGTGAACATTATATATCCATCCACATGAAAGTGCATATAAGCTTCTTTAGATTAGTAATAATAAATAACTGATATATATAACCAGACATGATGCTGTAAGTAACTACCACATACAAGCAAGGACAAGTTTATTACCAACTATATTCTTAAGGTTAAGAGACAAAAAAAATGTATGCATTACTACTTCAAACTGAAGCTCTGCTTGGCTATTTGTTTTCAAGTAGAATTGTTATTGCATTTATGTCCTGCTAGTGTTAAATTCAATGCTATTCTGTTCTGATCTGTTTAATTGAGCTCACAGCTGACTGCTTCATGGTCATTCATTTTAGGCAAACAAAAGAGTAAAGCCAACAGAGAGTGGGTTACTGGTAGTGGTTTGCATGACAGCTCGGCTCGTCCTCGGTGGTCTTCTAAAGAAATACCTGAGGTATATCTTACATCATTGTCATATATGCTGTGTCTAAAAGACCCACGTAGAGTATAAATATACTTGTAAACAATAGGGATTATTTCCTTAACTCTTTTCATTATAGCTGATTGTCAAACACTGTTACCCAGTGTTTACGCTAATCAAAATTTTTCATTATTTTTTTGTATCTTGAATATTATAAATAGTCACCTTCTCAGTCTGGTGCTGTACATCATAGGAGTAAAACAATGACAACACCAGAGGGCTAGCCTTTTCATGTGCTTCTTCAGACATTGAGCCACAAAACTTCTG